GTGGTGCGAAAGCGCGACTGAAAGAGTTTTACTGAAGTGTCTTGATGACGGGCCCGACTAACCAGAACTCGGATAAAGCTTGTTTTGAAAGTAATACAGAACTACAAATAATACATATGTATTGATAATTTGTGCGTCGCAATTTAAACTAAACAGCTATCAGTCAGGCCATCATCGGAGAATTCTGAGTTGAAACAAAAATAAAAGCGAAAATGATTTAAGGCCTAGGTCTTGAGAATGCCCCAAGTCGGAATGCCAAACCAATATTACTTCCATTATACATGTCCTTGAAACAACACGGGCTTGCAAAGATCCAACAAAACAACTAAATTCGACATAGACATTTCGGAAAATAGTTCTTCGAGTTTCTGCTGACAAAAAGTTTAACGAATGCTTCCCACAGAATAATATTTTACAAAAAATCCGGCACAATAGACGGAACAAACAAAAAAAATCGGGATACACGAGATCAAAATTGGGAAAATCGAGATACTTGAAATTTGGGGTGAAAAACCTGGATATCCCGAATACATCGGGATGAGTGGCAGGTTTGGAAAATAAACTAATTCATTAAATTATTCTTCAGAGCCATCCCAGTCGTTCAATGGTGGACAATTCATGTTTACTAGATCTAGTGTGTTAAAGAAGGATGGGGGTAATCTCATGGCAGGGGTAAACTCAAGGCACGACACCGGCAAATATAATGCGAGCAACCAGAATCTGGGCGGAGCTTCTGTTCTCAAGCAAGCCGGTGTCTCCGGGAACTGCGCGCAGCTCAGATAAGTTGATTCTAGGTCGACTGCTTCTGACACAAAGTCACAGACAAAAGGTGACTGCGGTGTCATGTGTGTGGGTGTGTTGTTAAATCTTTGACTCGGCTTCGGGGTAGAGAAGGGGGGAAGTGATGCTTGCCTGACGCACACTACCTAAGTTTTAAAGCGTATACAAACCCCCGAAACGAAATTTTCAAGAGTAAAGCTCACGCACCACCAAAACTTTAAGGGGGTAATTTGCAGGTTTAAGGGGTAATATACTAGCAATGCCAATCGCCCGCTGCGCCTTGTGCCGGAAATCGGCCTCCGCGCGAGGGGTATTTTTTGGGCCGCTCGGAATCAGAAGTGACTCTCTTCTAAGTTTAGTTACGGGAAAACTCCTGGACGAAAATAAATGAAACTCGGCAACCAACCAGAGAAAAGGTTAAACTAACGACATGCCAGCGTACAATCCCGAACGATTACTAGAACCGGAGATATTGCCGTGTTTGTGCAAATTTCCTCTGCGGTTCGAAAACTAAGCGGAGCTGCGGATTGATCGCCGACCACACAAGCGCCCCACATGTCTTCGTTATTGCTGCAAAATTTCAGATCTCTGCGTTTAGTTGGATTTTCTGTACCAACTTAAAATTACCACCCATCCATTGATAAAATCCTAGATCTAGAAACTTGATAGCGCATTCCAAACGCGAGGTGCGGCACGCAAGAGGCGCGTGATCGCTAGGCGGCATGTGATTGGCTGCCTATAACCAAATGGGTCACCGATGACTACATCGCGGGTTTTCCCGATAGCGCTTTACTGACTTTTAGAAGGGGTGATCGCGTTGCGGTAAAAACGAGGTCACGCAATTCAACAAATTTCACGCAAATATCAGTCTTTAAGATCCAAAGTAATGAAGACATCGAAAAAGTGATAGCAGAACTAGATTCGGCACTAAAAATCACATGGAGATGTCAAGTTTCATTCATATATGCTCCAATTCATTACTGACTTATGAACAGTTTTTCCTCAAAATACATCAAAACATGTCCCACATTTTGGCGATTTTTTCCTATATGAAGGTCCTCCAACATTTTGCAAACAAAAATCCCAATAACTTTTTTATTTATCAATGGATTTTTAATTTTTAAAAACCATAGTTCTTAGAATTTACTCTATTTTCATTTTAAGTCCATTTTTAAGCAATTTGGATGAAAATTTAATTTTTCATTGTCATTGCTAAATATACGCACAAATGTGCGTAAAGGGGAGCCCTGAGTTATATAATGTTCTTGGTGATATCTCTTGTGTCTTCAGTCAAACGTCTGGATGGGGTATGAAAGAAACTTTTTTTGCTATTCTTGGAAAGAAAACCTTGTTTTCAACTGATTGAATCAAATAGTTTATGGATCATTTTGAATTATTTTGACCAGACTTCACACCTAAACAACGAACATCCAGAAGGGTTCAGGCAGAGACTGATTCAGGTAGCGCTGATCTGGGCTCGGCGCCCTCAGTGACGTCAGACGTAGGGAGACTTGGGAGACCCTTGCGACTGGCAACGGGAGACTTACCCGCCCTACTCCCACTAACTTAACTATAAAAACTGGTGTACTTAGGGATGAACACTGAATAAGAGATTTTTTTGAAAAAAATATTGTGATGTTTTGTTGAGTTTTGGAAAATCGTATTCCCTTTTTTGAAAATCCGTTCTCCATTTCAAAGGGTGGCGCCATGGCGCCATTTGCGCTTGGGGAACCACGCCCCTGACCACAACATATCGAAATTTTAAACTGCTGTTACAGTAATGCGCTACACCGTATAGAGAGGAAGTTTTTCTAACTTCTGGGGAAAAAATCATGAAGATCGACCTGTAACTTCCAGAGATATCCACAAAAGATCGCTTACTGTAAATCGCACCACAGGATTAACTCTAGATCTAGATATATAGTACTACTACCGTCTACATCCCGTTAAACGTAGAAAAGACACATCTTCTTTCTGATTGGCTGCTAATTTTAGTAATGTGATGTCATCACTTCCTGGGATACCCACATGGAACGACGTGTTTTCGGTAACATTTCGGATTTCCTAGATCTAGATTCTAGATCTAGATTCTATATCTAGATTCTAGATGTAGTAGGCCTACTTGGACATGATGGAAGACCGCACGAAAATTGTCATAAAGACGCAGGAGGACTAGATCTAGATCTAGATATCTAGATTTAGATCTACCACCCCCCCCCCCCCCCTCCTGCATTTTTAATCACTAATAATACTTTAATGGCTGGCACTATTTCTCCGCACGTTCGGGAAAATAAAGCTGGGCACTATTTCTCCGAACACTCTGAAATCACACCCTTTCCCGCATATTTCGGATAATAAAAATAAAATATAGATCTATAATTATATTATAGGCCTACCAAAGATTGTTCGTATACAATATGGTTCAATCGGTCCAAAAAATGTCCGTATTTATATATAAAGAAATGCTACAGTTCCAAACAGTTTTTCGCTACAGATATGACGTGTGGCCTATGGAGGGTGCTGCTCTTAAACTTAATGTGTTGCGTTCACTCGTGAGCTGTCTAGATCTAGATCTATGGAGGGTTATTGATAACGACACATAGAGCTAGCATCTGCGTTTGTCGAGGCCGCGACCAATCAATCGTGGCTCGATTTTTTGGTCCCCGAAAAAGTCAAAAAAAAAAAAAGAAAATGAACCTCTTTACTTTTGAAAGAAAGTTCACTTAGCTTCACTTCGTCTCTTTCTCACTTGTTGTCACCACGTTGATTTGTTGAATACGTTACAGTTACATACGATTTGTATTGCTGTTCCTCTTTTATTTTTCGTTTATTTTTCCCTCTTTGTGGTGTTATATTTTGTTGGTGTGTATTTTTTTTTTCTTGATGTGTTGTTTTTCTATTAATTTTTTTTGTTGGGGAAAATGGGGGGGGGGGGGGGTTGTATAGTGTAACGTCATTTAATTTGATGTTTCTACAAAAGGTATTGTGTAACGTCATTTAATTTGATGTTCCTACCTTCATTAGATTCTAAATATATATATACCTGTATAGATTTAAATGTGCTATGTTAGAGCGTTCCACCAAAACCAATTACATGTACTGACACTGGCAGGCCCCCTGTGTGTGATTCCATAATTTCCATGCAATATCCTGTACTTTTTTTTTACAAATTACGCACATTTAGGGTTAAAACGGTCAATCTTCTTCGGACAGGTGGACACACGCCCTTATTTGTTAATTGTTGTGGTTGTTTCTGGGCTGTTCTAGTTTTGATTTCATTCTGTTGTGAAACCTTTCTTTTTCACGTTTTTACACTCATCTAAAAATCTCTAGACTAGATCTAGCTCTTGAAAATTGAAATAGATCTAAACCCAAAAATTTGCTCCGTTTTTTTTAAAATGGACGATAACCGTCCACTCAATAGAAAAGAGGGTCAGATTTCTCCGTCTCTCGGGTGCCTCAGGCAGTACCCGCCTCGCTAAACCAGTGGGCACACGGCCGGAGGAGAAGCTGGGAACAGATACCACCATTGATTTGCTCCTTCCCAGACCTCGCAGAATGACGGAATGAAAGTTGGCGCCGAACTCTCGCAAATAGGCAAACAATCACGACCAGAGCGGAAGCCGGAAACCGTTCGGAGAAATAAAGATCGGCACTATTTCTCCGAACGTTCGGAGAAATAGTCACTTCGTTAAAAAAAACAACCCAACAACTCAACAACTTCAAAGCAACTCTACAAACTAGGCCTATAATTTATGGAACGGTTGGTCAGTCGGGAGGAGGAAAAGAGAAAAAAAACAACTGTCCGGGACCGGAATCGAACCGCTCCAAAAGGCATTGCACGACATCAAACGCAGACGTGCTATCAAAACAGCTATCCAGTATCCAGAACTTCCGAGAGAAAGGTGTAGATTAAGCATCATATTAGACACTTCCATCTTTGGTGCCATGCGGTTGTCTATACTTAGATGTAGTCACGTGATCGGAGGGGTATCCTGGTGTCTGACATCAAACAAGATGGGCGCCTTACCTAAAAATAGTTTGCGTCTTTCTACTTTTAATCGCATTCTACTGTCTCTACACACAGTAGACTGCACAGCCCACCCAAGCCCAATGTCTGGTGTCCGATTTGTTGCAGTGAGTTCTCGTGGAGCTTGAATTCTAAGATCTACTTCTGACAACCATCAGGTCATAAATTACATAATACCAAAAGAACATACTTTTCTGTAACATCTTTATGTGAGCCACTTGAATGTGATAAATTCATCAACTGAGTGAGTTGTTGTTTGATGCTGGCAGCCATTTTGCATGTTTGCCAGATATGAGTGACGGATAGAATGTCATTTTTGATTTGTTGAAAGTTCACATTTTAACACAATATGAGTCAAACTTGATTTTTCAATATGAGAAATTGCTAATTATTTTGAAAGTAATTTCATACAAGGTTTAAAATAGTTCACAGTCAATTTCCAGAGATAATGTCTTCCACAGATGTTTGAACAGGTATTGTCAAAAGCTAACGTTTATTTGGCATTAAATTCGTAGACTCTGTGACTCGATATTTTTCTACAATTATTTTGTCCAAGTTAATTATAATAACAGTCCACATTCCTACTTACTTACCTGGCTGGAGAATAATAATGTGCATCATTGAAGGCTGCCCCCCTCCTCTCCAGGATCCATGAAAGGGTCTGCTTGCTGATCGTGCCAGTTATCAGCCGATTGGATATATTCTTCTGGCTTTTCCGCGCAGGTTGCTGTCTCTCCCCGACCATCTCGAGACACCAGCATCCTTCAGTCTTTCTATTGTGTGTGATGTGGTGCGTTCATCTTCTCTGTGGTCGTTGAACCATGCTGTCAACGCTGACATAACTGTTGGTAGATTTAATTGCATGGTGACGCCAATCTCAGCCTGGCCGGCTAGCTTATTAGCACGTTCATTAGCCTTTTTCGTTCCTCTTCGTTGCCCTGGTCTGTCTGCTGAATATATCGGGCAAACGGCCTCTCACCTTTCTCCTGGTCTGACCGCACCCACACGTCGTCCTCCCTTTGGAAGTCTGGTATACATTTGACCGGCTTCTTTTTCACCATTGATCAGTACAGCTGCTAGAATCTGCAGCGTGCCTAGTCATCTGTCACCTCTTTTCTGGTCTGAGTTCTCTCTGTTGCGTTGATATGCTTGTAACGCCTTCCTTTTTGCCCAGCTCATCATTCCACAATGGCGGCTGGATGATCTCCATCTGCCTCATCCTCCTGACTGGGATTGCCTTCTTCCTAGGACTGCTGATAGGGTCTTTGCCCTTGACCTCTTACGCGAATGCCATTGTCTTCTTGGCGGTGTTCCTGAGCCTGACAATGACAAGCACTGTGCATGACTTTTGGTTGCTTCCATGATGTCCAAGGACCGACATGTACAATCTGTGGCAGTTTGTAGAGAGATCAACGCCAGGTCAGTAACTCCATCAGTGTCACCCGCTTGTTGTGCCAATCTTGTTATGCTTCCATCGTTGAGGCATGTTAGGTTGCTGAAGTTTAGGGCGTCCTCAAGAGCAACTCCTTGTGGGTTTGTGGTTGTATTGCCCCAGCCACTCCCTCGTGCATTCAAATCGCCGCAGAATACTGTGGGACCTGGGAGCACCTCTTCCATGTCTCCTAGCTTCTTCCATTCCTCTTCACTGACAGCAGCATTGCAGGCGTACACATTGACTACATTCCTGACACACTCGTGTCACTAGCTGGACAGCATGTATTATGATGTAAAATATATGTAGGTTAGTCGAGTCCCAGCAACTGACATCCAGTTCTCTGTGTTTGATGCTGTCTCTGACAAGAATCGTCTGACCATGACCTTCTCTGTTGTAGATTGGCGAGAATCCTGCAAGATCTGAATGGCTCCTTTGCGCCTAGTTTAGTCTTCTGGAAGCATACTACGTCTGAGTTGTAAGGAATTGTTTGGCTGACTTGTCTTGCATTCAGACTGGTGCAGTTCAAGTACAGCAGTCTCAGGTTTGTTTTGACGAGTCTTTCGCATTTGAATTGTTTACTCTGGGCCCTGCCCTTCTTTTCCTATTTCCCCCACCTCTTTTGCTCCTCCTGCCCATCCTTTCATTCTCCCGGTTGGAGCTGAAACACAGAACTCGTACACAACTGTAGCTCCTGCAAATATTCTTTTGATTAAAAACACCCATGCATAAGTCCACATTCATCACAAACAATTCCTTACTCCTAACGAAACAAGAGGAAACAGACATGCCCTTTCTACTGCTTGGTAGGGGAAGAAAAAACCGAAAGGTCTACGGGTTCTGGATCCATAACAACAACTTTATCAGCAGGCGATTTTGTCGCGGTTGTTGCAGTAACTTACAGAAGCAGTACATGTAGCAGTTTTATCGTTATAAACGCAGCAGTTGCAACAGCAATTATAGTGATTGTAGCACTTGTGGAAGAGGGTTCTTCTATAATAAATGCCACGATAACAGCTTAGGTCACTTATGATTTAGAATATATAAAAACAAAACCAAATTGTTTTAATTATTGCCTATTCATGACTCTTGTACCTATGATTTCTTTTTTAAAAAATATTTAAAGGTTCGATGGCACATGCATGACATATTACTATGCGGTGATAAGCCTTTTTGCAAGGAATGCATGACGGGTCAATTTGATTTTGGCCTTTGTCTGACTTAATTTGGCAGGTACTCAATTTCACGCATGGTGAGATGGTGTGTGTGTGTGTGTGTGTGTGTATGTGTATGAGTATGTGTGTGTGTGTGTGTGTGTGTGTGTGTGTGT